ATAACCATTATGCATTGATTTTTGCCTATCTTTGTATGCCGCGCTTAGTGGTTCATTATGTGGCCTATTGGTGCCTTTTATTTAATTTCTTTCCTTCCAATGTTCCAATCTTTTGACTAAACGAAATAATTAATAATTTTGTTTTGGCCGACAAAAGGAGGGCAATCTATATATCTATCTATCTATCTATCTATCTATCTATCTATCCTATAAATGTTGTGGCTATTCTGTGAGTGGTCAACATGGCTCTCATCTATTAGCTCATGTTTTTTAGTTGTTTGATAAGTCCCCAAACGTCTCTTCCTCATGAATCACTGAAAGATGGATCGACTTCACGCTTCTTCGACTTCCATCCTTCATTTTCATATAATATAATATATTGGCTTATTTTGATCTTTGGGGGCTAAACACGATCATCTTCAAGTTTTCTCTCCCCATTTTGCTCTTCGAGTATTCTCTTCGCTTCTTCTTTGATTTCTTTTCTTTTATATCAGAATTTATGTTTTAGGTTCAATCCTTTGATACCAGAGGTATTTTATTCTTCTCCAAATGAACACGAGGGTTCCCACATGTTGGATGATGAAACAACCCGATCAAGACCTGTGGGGATTTGGCCTACCATGTTAAGAATAGTGGTAAGACAATATATTGTTCTTAGGTTTTTTACTATTGTTTTTGCTTTCCTGATTTCAGTGAAGCTGAATTTCAGTTAATGTTAAAGGAGCCAGAGGAATGTAGGGAGACCTCCTCTCTATTTCTTTTTTCATAACAGGGAGACCTGCTTTCTGAAGTGACGTAGGATGCTCCGGTTCCGCCACAACGACGTGCATGTTTCTCTACCCAATGAAAACATACTTTTAGCATATTTGAAACTGAACATCAGTGCTAAAATTTTTTCATTAGTGTCTTAAACACTGACAGAACATTGAATGGTTCAACTCCTTTCCAAGAAGACTCTGAAAATCACTCGCTTTTTTTTTGTTTGAGTGAGGCATAGTTACTAGATTGATGTTCTATGCAAAATATTTAAATGTTGTCTGAAATAAATTTAGTTATTAATTTTGTTGATTGGAAGAAAAATACTTCGGCTCATGACTTGATGTGTTTTCTGCTTATTTCTGTTAGAGATATATCTCAAGCATTTGGGATGAAGTTGTGCTATCGTCAGAACAAGGTTCCTCCTTCAAAGACAACGTGTATGAGAATTTTGTGTTTAGGGATATGATTATCGAGCAACTGATGATCCTGACCATCATGTCTTGTTCATAAAAATAAGTTTAGGTGGGTTCTTCATTTTCACAGCTAGATTTTATATATGTTGCACATCAGCTTCGAGATCTTACATTTTGCTTCTTAGAAAAAGAAAGCAGACAATCGGTCTGGAAGTATTCCAATGCTGGGCTGTTCTAGGCTTAGTTATTAAAGTTCTCCTCACTTGCTCTGGCTTTGCATAGATAAGGTCTTTGGTATGCTTAATCTTGTCCATTAAAAATCGTTTTGTGCTTTTATTTGGTATTAAGTCCAGAAAGTTTGTAGATCTTGCAATAATGGTCATTGGCTTTAAATAAGCTAAATTCCAAGGTTATTGGTCTTATTATTTTCACTGGTAGCTTCCTGCGAGTATTGTATTTTCTAATACTTTCATTTTCTGCTTAAATCTTACTGCAGTCTTGTATTCTTTATTGCTCATTTTAGTAAGAATCTGTCTTTTATTTTGGTTCTTTGAACACCAATACCAAATATTTTCTATATGGGGAGAATTCAGTCACATTTTGTAATCCTTGAATGCCCGTTAGATCTTGGAAGTTTTCTATGCTTGAGTCAATATTGTTTTTCTGCATTTTTGTTTCTTTCATCCCAACAATGAAAAATGCTGGCTAAAAGTCTCTAGCATATTGCCCAACCTTTTTTCAGTTTACCGATATCTCAGTCTCAGATCACAGTAAGTAAACAAAAAAGTAGCACTTCAGGGTGTCGACGCAAGTTTACGGTATATGACTACGAAACTGTGAAGGCAATGATTCGATCTCTCTGTTTCGCCAGACTTTCTCATTTGTTCCTTTAAAGTATTTGGAGAAAGCTCATCTAGATTTGGATGCCTCTTAGTGAAAAAATCTGTCATTTCTGTTCTTGTAGCCTCTTATTATGGAGCAATTTTCAATCTTTTATCAGAAGGGAAGCTTTTTCAGCTGCCAGAGGATTCTTCTAGTGCTGCATTAGTTTATAAGAGATTTGTACTATCTTTTGAAGGGTAAGAGCATTGGGGCGGCTCTTCCTATCATTGTGGAAAAATAGCTTTTTTCCTTTCATTTTCCAGATACATAGAATCATATTTTTGGAAACCAAATAATATTTGGCAACTATTGTACTTTTTTGACCAAGAAACCCAAATATTGTACTTAACTATATACGTATACTTCTTAATAAAAGCCCAGGACAATTGGTGAGAGGATTTGCTTTTCCGGCAAAAATGTTAACAATGGCCGAAGTGTTGTGCTAGATACAAGGGGGGAAGAAACTGAAATTTTTGGTATTTGTCACGTGAGATTACAACAAATAAGACAAAACAAAAACAAATGGTTGTGTCAGAACTACTGCTCTGCCAGAACAAATCGGATTCTTCAATTGCCATGGATTTTTTTTGGTAGGGCCTTACATTCACTCCTCTGACTAACATGGTGGAAAGTGGAAACTGTTGACTGTGTAGACATGAATGAAAAAATTGCTGCCATGAATTAAACTAAAATAAAAAGAGAAAAGGGTAAATAAAAAATGAGTTTGAACCATAAACATGGAGATCTACAATAATGAAAAAATCACCCAAAAAAAATACTCGCTAAAATTTAAAATGACAAATGCTTCTTTGATCTTTATAAGACAGTTCTAATGTGTTTTATACAAATCAATGAAAATACCAATGGCAAGACTAGGATTATGATTTTGATAGATTTTTACATGTCGAAATCATTACAAGAGTAGCAAAAACTATTGAAAGAATAGTCAGCATAATTTACTTGTCATGTTAAAATTTAATAAGTATTTTTTGTCATTATTTTCATTCATTTTATATTTTGTTTTTATAATTATTCTTCAAATTTTCATCATAAATTAGACACTATAAATTTTGTGTACTGGACCTAAACCCATCTGAATCCATGCTTCCATTTTTAATAACTAAAGACAATTTCTAGTAATAGTGTCATTTGCAATGACAATTAACAAAAACTGGGAATAATTAGTGAAAAGGGTAGGACTTTATCTACCGACCCGGTGTGCTCACATAGATAATTGTATGTAACACTATCAAAGGTAAAAAGTATTAAGGACTTCAAAGGATTGGTATTGGACACCATTATTATTTATATGAGATAAGCAAGATACCTTATTCGTCGGCAAAAAATATAACTTAAACTTGGTCTAAAATATAATGCTCTTTTGGTCTCTCTAAAGTTTAAAAAGACTCTTTCTGCGTTACGTTTGATTTTAAAATATAAATATAAATTTATATAAAATTAAAACATTCTCAATTTAAGATTGTGGTTATATTAAGTTATGAATGCACGAAAGATAGCCGGCTTATTTTAAATTAAATCTCAACAATCACATGGGCATGCTACCTTTTACAGGAAACAAACGTTCTTAGCTGCATAATAATTGATTAAATTTTTTGTAGTTTCACAAAAATAAAGTAAAAGTTAAACTTGCTGACTCATCACCACATTGTTTGACGATTGGAAAATATTCACGTACGCGATTATGTATATACTCTTCTAATTCTATTTATAAAACAGAGAGAAAAGATATTTTTTAATCCTATTTATAGGGCACTGAGAGAAATTTTTAGTGTGGATATACAATTTTACTTCTAATTTATTATTGTATTAACTTTGTTTACATGAGGTATAATATATGTTAAATGGAGATAAAGTTAAAAATTTATTATATTTTAAATGAGAGTTAATGAAGTTTAAGGTTTTCCTTGGTCTGTGTAAAACATGCTAAAAGTGCCTTATAAATAAGACTAGATAAGTATGTATAATATTATCAAAGCAAACAAGATATAATGTCATGGTGAATCCATAGCTAAGCAAAGTGAAGTCATGTGGTGAAAACTTGGAAAAGTGAGATAGGCTATGCGAAATAAGGGGGACAAAGAAAATTTGTGTCTCAATGCTTTCCCATGATTTTTTTTTTCATATAAATATATTTTTGACAGATCTCAGCGGTCTAAAGTTATAAATAGGATTGAAATCACAACCTTCACTCAGAAGGAAGTGTAACACATGCTCACTTAAAACATTTACTAGAATTTTTTAATTAGACAAATTTTTCTGAAAAGAAATTCATAAACGAGTAGTCTGCAACTCGGGAAGAAATTTTACTCTCTGAAGATTAAATAGACCATGTAGCTGGGATGATTTACTTTACAGTGGATGTCTTTAGTGCAAGTTTAGGATGGCCCAGCTTGCACCAGACTAGAGAATAAAAATACTACTCAATAACATACCCCAACTGACTAATTTAAAAAGATTAAGAAAGTTACTCAATTACTTTAAATTACTTTAAAGTATTTGTACTCATCATTTTTTTTCAACTAATTTGTCTTACTTATAAATCAATATATAATATTATATGCTACAATTAGATAATTTAGTAACTTTTTTAATCTTTTTAAATTACTCTTCCGGTCATTAATATAAGACTCATTTAACTAATTTAATTAGATTAAGGAAGTTAGGTAAGTTAGTTAATTATAAAAAAATTGACACATTTTTCCTAAAACAGCATAATGATTTTTCTGAATACCCCTTCTCCTTCTTCTACTTGATTAAGGTTAAGGAAGTATTCATAGGGATAATTTAGAGAAAATTGATAAATACAAGAAATGTGTCTTATATTTATGACCAAAACCAACTCAAAAATTAAGTCCTATATTAAAACCCAGAGGAGTAATTTATTAGGTCTTATATTAAGCAAACGAGATAGTATTTACCGCCACGTTAACGTTAGTAGTAGGAACTCTCGTCACTTAATCATGAGGTCGGGGGTTCGATTTCAACCCTCGAGAACAATACAGTCACCTAATTGGGAGAGATTTTTGCCTTTTGCTCTCACTACAACATCAGAGATTAGTCTCCATCGTAGGTGGACAGTATATTCCTTAAATCCATCCGTTGCATCTACATTTGCAAAAATTCTAAACCATCCTAAAAGCACATTAAGTATGTAACCTTGATAAGCCAGAAATTCACATCAAGGTATTCAACCAACAATTCCAACTTTTAACTTAAGATCCCGTTTGGTACGAAGCATTGAAAATGAGGAATTGAGATTAGGATTGCAATTGAGAAATCTATTAAAAGAGTATTTAGTATGAGTAATTGCTTATTATGAGAGATTAGAGAAACCCATAGAAGTGGGATTAGGGAATATCACTCCCTCATTTTTAATGCTTCTTGTCACACGCAACCTAAGTTCTCATAAACTTCAAGTAATGTATACCATTAAATAGAAATCAAGTTTAAAAAAATAAAACAGAGAGAAATATGTAATCCCAGAAATTAACACCATGGATCCAAAGAAAATAGGAACCACAGTTCCTACCAGGATGTGAAATGGAATAATCTTGCTCTAAGTCCAATCATAGCATCGCCGGTCATTACTGCAATGGCTACCGGAGATGGGACATCTGGACTTACCTTAGAAGCAGTACAGTGGTAATACCCTCACATCACAAACAAAATGGCCCCTAGAAAAAGATCACACAAAAAACGATTAAAAATAAGAATAAAGAAAAACCACATAGACCTATTTCAGCGCACAGCACTGCCAATCAATTTGGGATCTCTTCCTCATAGGATTTATCTATTTCTTAATCAGAAAAACTAAAATGCTCAACCATATCTTGCATAATACTACACAGTCATGGGCACTAATCCATGCAATGAATTAGCAAGAATAACAGAGACATACACATCATACAAAGAGTCCATGTTAGGGATTTGAAGAGTAAGTAGAGTAATTCAGAGAAATTATTATTTCTTTCTCATCTCAAATACATTTTACAATAAGCATTGTATGCACTGACTTTTTCTGACCAGATTATTTATCAGTTGACTAACATGGGCCAAATACAATTGGATTTTGAGCAACCCAAACCTTCTTCTCATGTATTCTTAAAAGTCCAAACAGCTGCAAACACATGCAAAATAAATTAACAAAGCTTTTCACAGAATGATCCATTAAATGAGACACTGGTTGACTGAAGATCTAGGGGACAAGAAGGTGTTGGTTTTGTCTTTTGAATATCCTCATCAGTGCTGTGTTTGATGGAACTTCTTATGTGAGGAAATTTCTCTTTCCAAAGAAGTTTCTCAGCTTTACAACCTAGCCACTCTCCAAGTTGCTAAGGAGTTGTTGTTGGGCCTGTCCGCTTTATGGTTAGCTTGCAAACAACGACACCGGAAGTTGCAGGGAAAGAATGCTCATGTCTGGATATTAGTTGCAGAAAATGACGTTGGGAAAATTTATTTTAGAAAATCCAGTATAGCAAAAGAGACCTTCAACTTGTGTTGGAACAACTGAAGTTTGACAAGCAGACATTCAATAGAAAGCGGGTTTGCATAATTGGGTTTAGACTTAAGCTAAAATTTTGAACAAAATACTACACAATTATGGGCACTAATTCATATGATGAACTAGCACAAGAACAACAGAGTTATATAGTATATAATGAGTCCATGATAAAGATTTGAAGAAAAAACAAAGTAAAATTATGCTCCTTTATCATCTAAAATGCATAGGACAGTAAACCATCCAGGCACCGACTTTTTTTAGGAGATTCTTTATCAGTTGACTAACATAAAAAAAGCACAATTGGATTTGAGTGACTCAACCACATTTGCATATATTCTTAACAGTCCAGACAGCTGCAAACACATGCGAAAGAAACGAACACAGCTTTTCACAGAATGACCCGCTAAATGAGAAACTGATCAATTGAAGATCTAGATGACACGAAGCTGTTGGTTCTCTCTTATAGCAAACATCTTATAAATATTCTTAGCAGTGCTATGTTTGGTGGAACTTCTTATTTGAGGGAAATTTTCCTTCCAAAGATGCTTCTCAGCTTAGCAACCTACCTTCTTTTGAAAGTGCTAAGGAGCTGTTGTTGGGCTTCCGCCTTTATGATTGACTTGTAAACCTACAATCCCTTTAGTTCTAGCATTGTCCTCGTTTGAGGACCCTATAGATCAGATGTTGCCTGCTATCTCTTTTTGTGGTTTTGGATAATATTTACTTTGCCTATGATGTACTGGTTTTAATCTTTCTTAAGGAATGTATTCCCTTTGGCCAAAAGAGAGTGGGGGGGGGGGGGAACAAAGAAAGAAAGATAAGAAAGTGAATACACCACTTACACATGAAAAATTATAGTGAAAAAAGGAAAATTAAACATGAACTACTCAGAACAAAATCCATCACCGTTATCTTGAATAATCACCAAACGAATGTAACCAAAGAACCCCCCATCCTCAAGATTTCTGTTGGAACTAAACAGAAAATTTGAAAATGTGAGAGCACAAGACCTCGGGGTAAAATATAAATTATGATCCCTTTCTCATGTAAAGTGCTTAGTACGCTAAGTCTTATACACACTCACTTTGCTCACTTATCAGTCAGCTAACACGGGCCAAATACAATATGCACCAAAACACTTCCTCATATATTCATCGTTAACAGTCCAAACAGCAGCAAACACATGCACAAGAAATGAACGCAACTTTGCACATAACGGACCCTTATAGTTCACTACTTACATGTGAGAAAATATTGGCCATGAATAAGGAATCAAACACAAACTCCTCAGAATAAATCCATACTGTTAAGACTTGGCAGAAGAATTCGACCACCACAACTCCAATTAAAAAACGCACTCCCCATTCACAGACGAATAAAATTTAACCAACCCAATGCCCCAAACGAAAACATCAAATGACGATGAAGTTTTGACATGGAGATCAATCAACAACAGGGACTAGGGAAACAGAATATTATTGCTGTCGAAGGTGAATCTGTAGAATTCCCAAAGAGAATTCATACTAAACCATCCCATTCTCGAAATGAATTTACTTCAATGAAAAATCAGAACAACATGGGATGGACTAAAATTCATAATAGAATTTTCATTTTAAAAGATATCATAGTTCTAGAATAAAACTCGCCTATGGCACTACATGAAATGGATTAACAAAAGGGGCAGGGAGAGATATTACCCGTTTCATCTGCTTTGACCTCTCTCTTGGAAATTCTTTTGTGGGAACTGGGAAAGCCAAAAAGGAGGTGTATTTGGGTGGCCGTGACCGAGAGGATTTTGCTACTCCCCCGGTCACTTTCTCCCCCCGTCGGAAACGAAAGATCTGGCAAAGGTGCATTAAGCGGAGGACTGGGAAATGGGCCGGCCTTTCACGGGCCGCTGGAGCCATTTTACAAAACTCGGCCTTTATGGAGGAGGCTCAGGCCGCGCGATATTTTAGGTCAGTTTACAAAATTTCATTTTTTCCAATACTAAACAATAGCAACATCATTGATGTGATCTTCATTGCTAGAGATAATAACACATAAAATATAAATCAAATCATCATTTAAAATTTAAAGTAGGTCATTTTTTAATTTAAATCATAAATATTAACAAAATAAAGTGTCAAATTAAGGTCTAAATAACTAAAAATAAAGCAAATCAAATTGTTATATTGAATTCTAATAGAAAAATATCCATTATCATATAAATATATTGATATTTTCACATCAGGTTAGATCATGTCATTTATGAAGGACTAAGATAATTTTAACCAAATACTAGCTAAATAAAAAATGAACAAATGTAATTATCAAAATGATTTAAAAATATATCAAATAATTAAAAACATACACAAGCCTAAATAGGTTAGCCCTTGGCCCTATAGTCACGAAGATGGAGCCACTAAGACTATAACATTTGAGAAGTCAGATATATATTATTAAGTAATTGTCTTGCCAAACTATGTCTTTTGAAGCAGTCCCAAAGTTATGGAGGATGATTTAACCAATCAAGTTTATCCTCATGAAATTGACTTAACGTATGTTTAAGCCACAGCACAAAACTAGAAAAATTGTAATAATCAAAGAACTTAATTGAGAAACATCCTAGCCATAAAGATCAAACATAAAAACAAAATACTACCTCTGATCCTAATTATAAGATATTATTTGTTGACTATAAATAATGTTTTATAATTATGACTAGAGATACGATAAAGATATATTTGAAGAATTCCTCTTTATAGCAACCAAAAACACCCATGTAGGCCAGAAATAGCATTACAATGGGGCCCCTTAATTAAAAATTAACACACGCGCGCGCATATATAAGCTCATGTGGTACATCATCAAAGGGCTACCTTGCAAGTTCTCAAGCAACATTGAGTTTCTAATTAATACAAAAGTATATAATAGTAGGGAGAATTATAATGAGGTTTTAAGGAAAAAAATAATTATTAAGAAATCCCAATAACAAGTAACTAATATGAACATATTATATCTTTTTCTATTTTGAAACTTATCATTAAATTCTTTTCAGTTGTTAATATAAATCCCTTTCTTAAAACCTAATTGTAATTCTCTCATAATATTGATCTTCAACATATATAATTCTTCAACATATATTGTAATTCCCTATAATACACTCAAGCAACAATGATCGAGTGTGTGTTGTAGTGGTCAATAACGTAACTCAAACACTCAGTTTGAGGACAACTAATTCGAAATGTTAGCTGGGAATTTATATATAAAAAGTGCATAAAGGTTTCATTAAACTTAGAAAGTACTTCTTTAGTTCTAAATGTAAAACTCATTTGTAGTGTAATTTACACTAAAAAATAAATTTTATATTTAAGATATAAGCGGGTAAAATTTATGAAGTTTGTATGATAGATGAAATATGATATTTCAATATTATTAAAAGATAATCCATTAATTAAAACCAAAGGTGTTATCTACGCCAAATTTATAAATGTAAAGAAATTCCTCATTGATTTTAAAAAATTAAAAGCATTATTTGTATATGTGTTTTTAAATATATATATATATATATATGTATATAGAAAGAGAGAGAGACAAAAATAGACTAGCAATGTATGAACATAATCTAGTTTGATTGATTTAAAAAAAAACCAAAGAAAGACAATTCAAAGTCGGTGCTGCCACAATCAGTTTGATTGATAAATGAATGGAATCTAGAAATTAAATTTTGGTTTTGGGATTGAAAAGTCTTCAAATTTTGTTGGCTTCAACAGTTTACAATAACCGTCAACGCTAATTATGTCAAATGACAAGTTGACTGTAGGAAATAACAAGTTCACTTTAGCGAATGACAACTTTAATAAACCAAATCACAATTTGGCTGAGAGACATTTCAAACATTTCACCAAAATTTTATATTTGCAATATGGGACCAGTGGGGTGTTTGGATGAAACCAAACCGTAGTTTGGAAAATGGCTTCTAGAGAATAGGTTTTAGGGAGAATAGATTTTGTAAAGAATAGATTTTATAAAAAAGTAATTTTGAGAAGTGAGAATGTTTAGATAGTTATTACCAGAAGCACTTTTTACATGTAGAAATTACCAAAAAGGGTATAAGTTAATATGATAATTATATAAGGAATAGATTCTATGATATATTTTGATTTGAAGAAATAAAATTGTTAATGAAATAATTTTTACTAACATAATTGATAATATATAAGATAATATAATTAATACATAATTAATATGTGTATATATATTTATAAAACATAATATTAAATATGTTTATAGAAAAATGAATTTTTTTTTTTTGCTAACAGAAAAATATTAATTTTCTTTAAAGATTTTAATCATGGAATCCCATAACATTTTTTCACAACTAGTTTTTGTAATAACATACTACCTCCGATGTTTAATATAATTAATTAATTAATTGTCACCACATGTGTATATATTCATAAAATATAAGAGTAAAAATATTTTTGGAGAAGATGAATTATTTTGTTGTGCAATTATTTGAGCAAAGGAGGAAAGGAAGAGCAATTATTTGAGTGGGGCTATTTGGTCATCTGTGATGGGCCCACTGTAAGCTTCCAATAATTGAAGCCAAGAAGTAACTCTGATCTGCTTCTGATAAAACCATGGTTTGGGGGTTCAAAACCATCATTTGTCCCCAAATCATGGTTTCATATTTTTAGGGGCTGTTTGGTTGACATTTTTCCCAAACCATGGTTTGGGGTGCTTGCCAAACAGGCCCCAGGTTTTTATTAACTATTTTTCAAATTGAGAATTCTAAATCACAATTTCATATATTGGGAATCTTTATTTATAATTTTCCCTATGTAAAATCATTATTTTCTAGTTCTCAATGTATTCTCATTGTTTTAAATTTTTTTTTTGTATAAAAAGGGACACGAATATTGAATTTTAAATAAATTTATTTTTTAATTTTCTCTTTCATTTGTAATATCAAATGAATTTTATCATATTCTATACTTTGTTGCATATATATCAATTATTGGGTTGATGTGCAAATTTATCCCAAAATTCCAAAATCATAGTAATGTTGTTCCCTTACCGTTAATAATATTAATGATCAATACTATTATTTTAATAATTAATGTTAATTTTTAATGATATTGAACAATATTGCTATGATTTTAAACGTTCAAAATAAATTTACACTAAAAATTAATAAAAGTTTTCTGAACAAATGTACACTTTCACCATTAATTATTTTGCATTGTGCATTTGCAAGGTATATTCAAAAGGAAGAGGAAAGTCTTCATTCACTGTCACCATATGTGTATAGTTTATTACAAGAAACTCGTGTGTTTGACGATTTGCGGTATCATTGAAATTGGAATAATTCAATACCACATTTTGTGCGATAAAAAATAAATTTATTAGTTCGTCATTAAATAAAATAGTTTAGCTTCATAGGGAAATGATTCAAACTATTGCTTGTGGGATGGGATCACATGTGACTCCATGTCTAGTCATATGATTGGCCTTGATCTTTGTTGTAGTTGGCTCCAAGGTCAATTCCATCCTAACAGTAGCCTCTTCCAACTTTCTCATCTCCAAACACTCAACTTGGCTCACAATAATTTGGTGATATTTCCACTCTTGCGCATTTAAACTTAAGCCATTCTGGGTTTGCTGGTGAAATTCCTTCTTAAATTGCAAAATTGTCTAAATTGGTCTCTCTTAATTTGTTTGGGAATGAATTTTTCTCATATGATGAATGGTTAACTTTAAGACTTGAACCTTCCATTTAGGAGAAGCTTGTTTTGAACATGACTGATCTAAGAGAATTTGTTTCAGATTATGCACATATGTCTTTCATTGCACCAAGCTCCTTGTCTTTGCTCATGAATTTTTCATCCTCTCTAATCTGTCTTAGCCTTTTAGCTACGTTGTTGTAAGGAAATTCAGGTAATAAATTTTTTCATTTGCAAAATCTCCAAAAGTTAGATTTGTCAGAGAATGAAAATCTCATGGGACAACTTCCATATTCCATAGGCCATTTGAAGTCCCTTGATTTTCTGAGACTCAAGGCTTGCCAATTTGATGGGCCTATTCATGTAAGTTTTGAGAACCTCAATCGATTAACTTATTTAGACCTTGCATTTAACAGTTTTAATGGTGAGCTCTCATTTCTTTCAAATATGCCAGGTGTCACTTCATTATACTTCTGTCATAATTATTTTAGTGGTTTGTTGCCAAATGTGTTTGGAAATCTTTCAAATTTGAAATTTCTTGATTTCTCTGATAACAAGCTACAAGGTAATTATTCTGAGTCAATTTTTACCCTCATAAATCTTTCTTGTTTGAGACTATCACCAAATAACTTGAGCAGCTTTGTTAATTTTTACTAGTTCTCCAAGCTTCAAAATCCATAATATGTTGATCTTTCAAGCAACAAGCTTCTTTCACTTGTCTCTGATAATAATCTTAACTACACCATTCCCAATCTTAGGTTCTTATATTTAGAATCTTGTCATATCACTATCTTTCCAAAATTTGTAGGCTGTCCAAATTTGCAGAAGTTATATCTTGATGATAATAAGTTGCAAGGTCTTCGTGAGTCGATTTTTGGTTTCCTAAATCCTTTCAGTTCTAAGTCTACCATCAAATAATTTGAGAGGCCCTATTAGTCTTCATCCATTCTCAAAGCTTCAAAATCTAGAACATCTTGATCTTTCAAACAACAAGTTTCTCTCACTTAGCTCTAATAATGA